GAACTGACGCAGGTTTTTTCAACCTTGTACACCAACTTTTTATGTTACACAAAATTCAAACAAATAACGGGAGAAAAAGATAGAAGAAACAATGCCATATGGAAGGCCAACATACGTGGTCGGACTTACGCGACAAAATGCTTTTGATGTCAACTGAACTGAGGTTCTGTCTCATTAAATTTTTAAGAAATCGACCTTGTTTGGAAACGCTCTTCTTAACGTGATTTTGCCCACCCTGCACCCACTGAACATTGCTGAATGATTTTGTTCTATTCGGTCGACGGACCATTTTAACTCAGCTCTTGTGGAACGCCTCTGGCGCTTCACTCGAATGGTCCGGTTCTCCAGCTCCAAAGGCTCTAGGTCTAGAGCTATTCACCCGCGGCTCTGATCGTCTGTGCTCTAGCCATCACAGCAGGACTATTGAGAAAAAATCAAGTAGTCCGTAAACCGTTCCATTAATTTCGCCTGTGCTCACGACGCAATCAACACATCAGAGGTGAGGCGGCTGCGCTCGCTACGCGCCAGTCTCACGATGGATGTAAAAGCCAAAACGAGCGCATTTCTGCGTTGAAGACAGTAGCGTCGATATCAGCGATGTCTGCTATGGAAAGTAAAAAAGCTCTGATCAACGCAACAGCGCCATTCAAAAAAGCGGTGGAGAAAAAAGGGTCATTTTGTGTTAGGAGTGCATTCCGTGTCGTATAACTTCGTATAATGTATGCCGCCTTAGCCCACAAACAGTCTTCGCCGTAGCATAGGAAACAGCCTGTCGCAGCACTCGAGTTGGCTGTCGTTTGTGTGCAGACGGTTTGCCAAGAAGTGACGAGGACAAACAAGATGGCGCGCACCCCCATTCCCACAGAGCGAACGTGCGAGCATGAGCCGATGAGGCGTTGCTATTTCTGCCTCCGTCGCCTCTTTGCTGGGGGACTTCGTTCGTTTACGTTTGTTCCCCGTATGTAAAACGTATACTCGAAAACGCGCCGCAAATGATGGCTTAACTCACGAATCCACCCAACGTAATGGCAAAGCTTCTTTGTTTTCGACTGCCTTACCACCTCAGCTCCCACTTTCACCGACGACCAATCTATCCCACTCCTTTCTCCTTGTTCCTTGGTCATAAACGAATCTCGTAGCATAATATTCCACGAACGTTCTTCTATCTGTTCGTGTGCACAAAAGCTCAGTATGAACTGATAGCGTTTTAGATCACCTTCCCATTTATCCAATAATCAACACCCATGAAGAAAGTTTACCTCTGTACAATCTTTTCCGTTTTCGCAAGCGTCCTTTGTGAAGATGTGGAGAACGTCTTCATCAAGGTCCGTCATGAGTATTTCCAGTGTGTGGTCCTGAATTAAAAGTTCAAAGACGTTCTAGAAACATCTGAAATTATCACTTCTGGGACCAGCAAAGAACTATTGATCAAAAATCTGATGTGGAAATTCTGGGTGCCTCTTATTAGCTTCTCTAGTAGTTTTAGACAACAAGGTATTTCAAAGAATGAGATAGTTTCAATTGGCTAATCTAGCCATCCAGCGCACGAAATCTGAAAAAGCACCTGATCCCGCAAGGGGTTTTTTGTTTATCGCGCTGAGGAAACAGGTAAGTGTAGAGCATACCAACGAGTCTGCTTGGTGAGGCAACCCACTAGCAATATGCATTCCATCTGCAAAACCTTGCGGACAATAAAACTTTGATGGCAAGCCTTCGTTCTTAGGGCAAACAGTGAAACGCATAGGCTGAGAAAATAGTGTGTACGCATATCTTATATCGCTTCTTGATCGACAAAAAATCATTGATAGCACGCTAATAAATCAAGACTGCAAAATTCGCGCCTTCTGAAGGTTGAAAGTGAGATCACTGGACGTACCATGGAAGAAGTTGTCCAGAAAATCAACCTCAGCGTCGAACGAACGATGTTCTTCAGGTTGTAGCTCAGGTCGAAGGAAGTTCTTGCGTGAGTAGTACACCGACACCACCTAATTCAAAGAGAGAAATACTTTTTTAGTATCAATCGAAATAAATAATTTTAAGAACTGCATTTTCGCATTCCGGTGATATGATCCAATCCTGTATTTGCAAATACCTAAAATGTGACCGCTTCTCTAGGGCCTAATCTGTCTACTCGAAGTTCCTCAGTGACAGGCATAGCTCAGTAAGTGACAGTGTCAAACTGATCATAGCGGCTTTATTTTTTCCCAACCAATAAGGGATGCCTCAGCACAAGTCATTCGATGCGTTGCAATACTGTAGGTCAAGCAGATGATTTTTTCGAAATATTCATGAGGACCGCACCTTGATCAAAACCTCTGCATAATCTGCAGCCAGCTGAATAATTGTTGGTAGTGCTGCAAGCAAACGGGTCCTTCCACATGTCTTCAAAATCAAACGACGTTCCGATACAAAAAGGCTGCTTTCACTAAAAAAAAGAGCTAGTTGTTCGGCAGCAAAAACAGTTTAGTCAGGAATCTTATACTATTCACCTGCCAGAACGGAGCGTAGTCAATGATACTTCAAGTGCTGAGGCTGAGTGACAACTTTGACACTGGCATGTAATGCATTGCGTTCAAGCTCATACCTCGGGATACGACGCAGAGAACCGCTTCTGCCACTACTATTAGCAAACCATAATTCAAGCAATTTCTCCGCTCCTGCAAAAAGCTAGATTGGAAACTGAGCACATAAAGTTCAGAATGAGTCTTGATATGCGGCAATAGTTTGGGCCTGCAGTGGGTTTTAAACCCCATGAATCGTCCGAACTATTATCGTTAGACCAAAGCTTTGTATGACCAATTTGACGAGTTTTCATCATCTTCTTTCCAAACAATTACATCGGCAACTACAAATATCAACATTTTCTCTGGCGTCAGAAAGGTGACAGCGGCACTTCGAAACATGCAGCCATCTAGTTCTTGAAAGACTTCCCAGACTGCATCTCAGTAATTTGATACGATCATGCCGAGAGGAACGCAATGATACCCAGAAAATTCCTCTTTCTCTCTATCATTGGCCTACTACTGTGAAAAAGGAAGCACAATCCTTCCCAAGGGCGCTCTCATAGTCGCTTATCGGATCGCAACGATCGAAACGATCCTTGGATGTGTCGGACGATCGAACATAGCCAATGCTGTGCGCCCGTTACGATCGGACGACCGACTATGGAAGCACCCTAACACGCAGCTGTCACGGAGCATGTTTAAAATGATGGCTAAGCTACAGTTATGGTTATCATAATAAACATTAGACACACTGATCTCGCTAGAAAGAACGCTTTGATAAATGGTTATTTGAATACCTTCAAAGAAGTACTCCTCCACTGGGGTTTTCTCCTCTAGGTTGCTAGTTTGAATCACGCTGGACTCGACCTTCGATGACATCTGAATTTGAACATATTAAGCAATCATTTCCGCATGAAAGCGTTCCACACTCACGTTGTTCTACTTCACTGGTTCTCCTGGACGCTTTTTGCAAAGAAGCAGAAGTTAGTGGTAAAATCACTGTTGAGTGTTTGAAAGTTGCGAAAGATAACTTTCGGACCTGCTAAGGAGGACGACGGTAAAGCACGAGGATGAGGGTCTCAATGTCTGGACCCATACAATCCTGAAAATGCATATGATAATGACAGATCTGGTAGTAATACTCAATTAAAATTGAAGGCACGAGCCACTATTAGATTCTCCTAGCAATTCTCTAATTGAGTGAGGTATTAGGATCCCCAAGCACAGGAGTCTCAGCACTGTCATGACTTGGAATTACGGCAAGGGCGCTAAGGCCTTGCCGCACTTCCAAGTCACGACAATCCAATGCGACCATTTTCACGCGTTCGCA